AGAACATACTATGGACTCGTTTTGCCAACAACTGCTCAAGTCTAGGCCTTGAGCTCCCCTGCGATATCTTGAAGAGCTGCGAAGCTGTTCCCGTTGCCGTGCAAGAAGCAAATTGAACCGTTTGTCAACTTGCTCTGGATGGTCTTGCCCGTGTTGGTGCCGTTGACTTCGAGCGGGAGGCTTCCGAGGTTCATGTTGTGAAGCGACATGGACAGGATGCCAGCGTAGTCGAGAGTCACAGTAGCAGGATTCTTCAGGTAGTACTCGTTGAACCATCGATTGTCCCAGCCGGCGTAGGTAGTCCCAAGATCTGCGATCATGTCGATGAGAGCGTCGATAGTGCCCATCATAAAGCCGGAGTTGGCGTACATGTACTTGGGTGAAGAGTTGCAAGGGCCTACGCTTGGGTCGGTGCAGTTGGCGTATGTCGACTCCCAGTCATCGGGCACGCTCAAATCCGAAAGCACGTCGGCCCTCCTGCCTTCAACCCAACTAGAGCTAGTCATGTTATAGCTCCACCCCAGGTCGGCTGGCCAAGGACTCAGCTCCGCTGCCATCACGATCTTCTGCGAGCCGCCACTGGCGTTGATGATCCTGTTGTACTTGTAGACGATCGTGTTCTCGTCACAGCCGCCGCCGTAGAGGACATCACCGCTGGAATGGATGATCGCCAACCTGGTACTGCCCCCAGTCCCGCGGTCAGCCCAATATTCCAGCCATTCCTTCGCAGCAGACCACCTCATCCTCTGCCACTGCCACACAGTCAGATCGCCCGCAGGGTTCGTCAAACCATTCAAGTGCTTGATCTCCTCACCTCCTTTGCCCGTGTAGCGAAAACTCGCAGGAGGCTGTGTAACCTTGAGGGAGTCTTTGACCAGGGCCCTGCCAATCAGAACGTTTGGTGGGAATCCTTGGATTTCCCGTCCAGTCTGCAACGAGCTCAGGTGGATCTCAGTAGCAGCAGAATCACTAATTGGAAACTCGCCCACGTAGCCAACATCCCTGAATGACGGCGTGTCTCTGTAGATTTCCCAAGGAATGCTCAGGAGCGCCTGCTTGTTGGAGAGCACCTCGCCCGCAAGTTCCGTTATCAAGTCCTCTCCCTCGCCGACAGCCTTACAGACACAAACGAAACTGACAAACGCCAGCAAGTGCAGACCCGTGGCCATAGTAGCCAAACGGAAGCCTAGGCAGAGCGATGCGGTATCGGAAGTCCGACCAAGAACGAGCCCTTGAGCCGAAATGGCTACGGAATAACACGCTGGGGTCGTGTTCGGAGTTCCAGGTCCGCTATGACACGCGTCCGCGGATTGAGAAAAATTAGCGCAATGGGAAGGGATGGGAGGGACGGATAGGATGTCAGATACGGCGCGAGCGCACCTAGCGTGCCTCTCTCCTCTCTCCTACATCCTCTCTCATAGTCCTCCTCCTCATCCTCCTCCTCCTGGTTAGGATTACGAGTGCTCGGGCAGCTGACAAGACAATGTGTTTCCTATGAGGGTCGACTTTTCCGGATGGGCTCCCAATAAGAGTAGGACGAAGAGAGATGAAGGGGAGGCGGAGGAAGGGGATGGTAAGACACGTCGCGATGCAAGAAGTGCCAGTCTGCCGATCCGTCTTCGAGCACCTGAAACGCTAGCAGTGGAGAGGCGTGCTTTTCTAGGCTGTCAATGTAGTCTGAGCTGCAATGGCTGCGCGCGCATCCTGGCACCCGCAAGAACGCAATGGCAGAGAACGAAAGAGCGAACAAACTCGAGATGTAAACATAGCACCACGGCGACAAGGCCAGACGATTGAGGAACGATACATATCGAAAGAAAGTGCTCACTGTGCCTTCGAAAACGAACAGTGAACGCATACTCCGAGCAACAGCTCGCGTGCCTCACCAAGCTGCATATGCCCGCGCGCCGCGGAAGCCCCCACATTCAGAGCAGAGCACGAGAGCGAAGAAAACGAAACCCGACCGCGCCTTCTGATTGCGCAAACAAATCTGCATACGGGTCCGCATCAAGAAACTGCCAGCCCGTCGCCCGTCAGAGGATAGATTCCGACCCTCGCCTTCGCTACCGAGCCATACCAAGCTAGACCAACCACCATTCTCCCTTCATACGGCGGCAAGCCACGGGGGGAAAGTGAGATGGGGCAGGCCTTCTCAAAGGCGGCGATGCTAATCAGAAGCGCCCCGGCCTTCTGAGTCGCCGTTTCTGTCTTCGGAGAAGGCTTAGAGAATCTCTCAGAATGCGCGATGGCTTCTGAGAAGCCCGGCCGCCTTCTGAGAAGGCTTGCCCATGCTGCCCACTCTCACTTCCCCCTTGGGCTAGCCGCCGATTCATGATCCAGCCTCCCTTACCGATCCATGCCAAGCACCTTCCGTCTGACAGCCAGCGCAAAACGGACTGGCAAATTTTGTTCCCTCCGGCCACTTCCAGGGAAGAGGACGTGCGGCACGGAAACTGTCGGGCAACGACGACGACGACGACGACGACGACGAACACGACTGCGACGACGACGACGACGACGACGACGACGACGACGACGACGACGACGACGACGACGGCGGCGGCGGTGGCGGCGGCGGCGGTGGCAGCGGCGGCGGCGATGGCGGCAATGGCGATGGCGGCAGCGATGGCGATGGCGGCAGCGGCGACGGCGATGGCGATGTCGGCGGCGGCGATGGCGGCGGCGACGGCGGCGATGGATGGCGGCGGCGCTGGCGGCGGCGGCGGCGAAAGCGATGGCGGCGGCGCCGCCGCCGTGGGCCTCCCGCCCCAGAAAAGGGGCGGCGGGTCTCGATGAGCCTCAGAGCGCGTGCCAGCCCCAGCGTGTGCTCGCCCATCGAAGCCCGTCGATCAAGCGCAGGCGGTGTAGCGATCTGTCGGTGGAGCTGGACAGGGTAACACACACACGCACACACACACACACACACACTTTGAGTCGGCGGCGCAGAGAGACCTCAGGCGCGGTCGGCAGGTGGAGGTGCCAATTGCGAACGAACTTAGTCGAACGCGCCATGATGAAAGAATCCAGTCACGGCTATGCAGATTGCAAAACATGGGTGGTGTAGTGATGGGACTGTAACCCCAAAAGCGTGCAGCGGCCAGAACCCGAGGAGTACGCAGAACGAACTCGACTCTAGGTGAACTGAGGCGCGAGCAGTCTGGTGCAAATGAAGGCCAAGAAATACCGACGGATGATGACCCAAAAAAAACGTGCAGCGGCCAGAACCTGAGGGGTTAACACACACACACACTCACACACACACACACTTTTTCCGTCGGCAGCGAGGCGGGACGATCTGGCAGCGATGCAGGGGCACTACAAAGCGAATTGGCCGGCATGCAGGAGGAGGGAAAAGGAAAGGCAAAACACACACACACACACTTGTTTGCTCGATCGCGGCCTCGCGCGCGGCGACGAGGCGCAGCAAGTCGAGCAGTCGGAGCGAGCGCGCGCGGCACACACACACACACACACACACTGGCTGGGGAGACGTAAGGCTCGAGCTCGGGGGACTCGGATTGCCCTGTCACGGCCGTCGGGAAAATGGCGAGACCCCGTCTGCAACTTAACGCGGGCTCTGGCTGCAGGCAAACCTCGAAAACTGGACCGTCAAAATCCAAGACGGGCCCCAGGAGCGTCGGCTAACCCGAGCTCCGGCGAGCTCGAGTCCTACGTTTCCCCGACCTGGGCCTGGGTCGGGCATGTCCTCCTACAGGCGGGTTTTGGGCGAAAAATGTTTAAAATAGCCCAAAATTATCCAAAATAATCAAAAATAATCGAAACATCGTCCTCTGACTATTTTTTGAACTATTTTTGAGCACTCCTCCTGTGGAGGGACATGCCCGGCTTCAACCTGGGCTTCATAGTACCCTCCCCGAGGATCATCGAGGGGCGGCGGCGGCGGCGGCGGAGGCGACCAGCGGCGCCCGACGACCGCCGGACGACCGCCCGACGACCGCTTCGCGCCCGTTTCCCCCGAGGCTCGCCGCGCCCGAGCGAAGCGGCTCCGCACAGTCGGTCAGGCGAGCTCGGCCCGCCGCCGGCGCCGGCGCTGGCCGGCTGGGCCGGCGAAGGGCCGCCACATGGCCGCGGGTCGGCCTCCGGCGTCGGTCGGAGAGCCAGGACGGGCGCCAGGCTGCCCAGACCCCCTGGCGCGGGGGGAAAAAAGATGGGGAGGGAAGATGGTCTGCTGTGCTCGGCCTGCGGGGGCCCTCGCTGGGCCCCGGGGCCGTCGAGGAGCGACTATGGAGACCTGGTCCTGGGGAACGCGTCGAGGCCTCTGGGGGGCGGCGTCGTGAATAGACACGGCGGCAGGGTTCTAGGAGGGGCGGGGGAGAGGAGGAGGGGCAGGAAGGGCTGAGGCGGCAGGGGGCTGAGAGAGAGGGGAAAAAGGAGGCCTTTCGGCAGCTATCGGGATCTGACGCTCTCTCTCTCTCTCTCTCTGTCCCTCTCTCTTCTTCTGGAGGCTTCGGGAGATGGAGGGGCTGCAGGAAGGACGGAGGAGGAGGAGGAGGAGGAGGAAGAGGAGGGGGAGGAGGAGGAGGAGGAGGAGGAGGAGGGAGGAGAAGGAGGAGGAGGAGGAGGAGGAGGAGGTGGCGGGAGAAGGGGGGAGGAGGGGGAGGAGGGAGGAGTGAGGAGGGAGGAGGGAAGGAGGGCAGGATATGCGGAGGCGGAGGGAGAGGAGGGAGGAGGAGAATGACAGGAGGAGGAGGAGAGGAGGAGGACGACAAGAGAGGAGGAGGAGGAGGAGGAGGAGGAGGACGGCGGAGGAGGAGGAGAGAGTGGGGAGTAGGGGGAGGGGGAGGAGGAGGAGGAGGAGGAAGGAGAGGAGGAGGAGAGAGGAGGAGGAAGGAGGAGGAGGAGAGAGGAGGAGGAGGAGGGTGGTGGGGAGGAGGAGGAGGAGGAGGAGGAGGAGGGAGGAGGTGGAGTAGGAGGAGGAGAAGAGGAAGAGGAAGAGGAAGAGGAAGAGGAGAGGAGGAGGAGAGAGGAGGAGAGGAGGAGGAGGAGGAGGAGGAGGAGGAGGGGGAGCACGAGGCGCGCGGCACGCGCCGCAGAACGACCGCACGGGGCGCGCGGCGGCGTCAGAGACACGACGGGCACCGCGGGGGCGTCGCCGGGGCCGCGCGGCAGCGGGCGCCGAGGCGCCCGGGGCGCCTCGCCTCGGCCACGCTGCCGAGGAGGAGGTGCTCTCCTGGGGGAACGACAGCCCCAGAGATCCAACGTCTTGAAAAAGTCAAGACGGATGCTTTTCGCAAATTTCGGCCCCTAGGGGCCCTCGTCAGGCCTCGGGACCGTCAAAAACGACTCAGGATGAAAAACCGGTCCTGGGGAATGGGTCGAGACTTGCGGGACCCCGTATTGAACAAATCACGACATCGGATCTCTGGGACGGAGGCCTCCCAGATGGGATCCGAGCAGAGGTCGGAGGACCGCGCCGCATCGCCGGCACATCGCCGACGCATCGGCGATGCTTCGTGGACGTCGGCGATGCACCGGCGACGTCGACGTGGAGAAAATCGGGCTCCACATCGAGCCGCATCGGCGATGCGGAGCGATCCTCCGACCCCATTCACTCGGCCCCCGTGTGGGAGGCCTAGGAAAAGGGTACTGATACCATTGTACCCGCCGGACCTCCCCAGGTGTGCAGGCTGCCCCGAATTTTCGCCTCTTCCCCCCCCGATCTCCGTAAGAGAAGGCGAAGCCCCGCTGGCTCACTGCCAGCACCTTGAGGCAAGATCAGTCAGCAACGAATCGGCAAATCGGATCGAATCGGAATGTGCGTCGGATCGAGCCGCATCGGCACGGAGTCGACATCGAATCGGATCGGATGCACAGCAGAGCCATGTGAGCATCTGACTGCGTCGGATCGCTGGGAAATCAACCTCGAATCGGATCGAACTGGCCGAAATCGGCATCGCATCGGATCGAGGAGGAGGAGGAGGAGGAGGAGGAGGAGGAGGAGGAGGAGAAAAAGGAGGTGGAGGAGGAGGAGGAAGGAGGAGGAGGAGAGATGGGAGGAGGAGGAGGAGGTGGAGGAGGAGAGGAGGAAGGAGGAGTGGAGGAGGATGGAGGAGGAGGTGAGGAGGAGAGAGGTGGAGGAGGAGGTGGAGGGGAGGAGAGGAGGAGGGAGGGAGGGAGGAGGTAGATGAGCAGTGGCAGGAGGGAGGGAAGGGTGGAGTGAGAAGGGAGGGAGGAGTGGGAGGAGGGAGGAGGAGGGAGGGGAGGGAGGGAGGGAGGGAGGAGAGGAGGGAATGGAGGGAGGGGAGGGGAGGGAGGGAGGAGGGTGGAGGATAGGAGGAGGAGGAGGTGGAGTAGGGAGGGTAGGGAGGAGGGAGGGAGGGAGGGAGGAGGGAGGAGGGAGAGGGAGGGAGGGATGGGAGGGAGGGAGAGGAGGAAGAAGGAGGAGGAGGAGGAGGAAGGGAGGGGTGAGGGGGAGGGGAGGGAGGAGGAGGGATAGGAGGGAGGGAGGGAGGAGGGGAGGATGGAGGAGAAGAAGGAGGAGTAGGAAGAGGGAGGGGAGGGGGAGGAGCTGGAGCCGAGGAGGAGGAGGAAGGAGTCCGGAAGGGGAGGGAGAAAAGAAATCCATAAAATTATGAACGCATATTCAAGAAACAAAAGATGAGCCACCCCACGCTTGAGGTCCTCGTGGGGGCTCCGGCCCGAGGCCGTGCACGCGCCCACCATCGAGAGGAGCAGCTCGACCTCTCTGGGCCCGCCCGGGCGGCACCGGAGGATGTCGGTCTGCCTTCGGGTCGGTCGTATCCCCCCACAGGCGGATTTTGGGCGAAATATAGAAAATTGACAACAAAAAATAGCCAAAGGTCGTCCCCTGAGTATGGTTGGACGATGTTTGAATGTTCCTCCTGTAGGGGGACGCGCCCGACTCAAGTCTGCCTCTGCCGCGCGCCCGCGAGCGAGCAGGCCGCGTAGAGGCTGCCCCCGAAGCAGCGGAAGTCGTCCACCCTCTCAGGGAAGCAGAGCTGCATCTGCGAGTCGATGGTCGGGTACCTGGGGGGTCTCGGCACAGCCACGCGAGCGAGGGAAGCGAGCGGGTCTTGCGCGAGAGGGCACAGCGGCCCTACGCGGTGGCTTACTCGGGCCGCCAGCGCGGCACGCCGCATTGGAGACGAGGGCGCTTCCGCGCCACACGACGCAGGCAGCTCACGCGGAATCGGCCGCCACGTTCGGAAGCAACTCATGGGAGCCTCCCATGCCATCCGTGTTGGATCTTGCGAATCGACGCTAACTGACGCGAACCGACGCTAAGTCGACGATGAATCGACGCTAATCGACGCTAAATCGGCGCCATCTCATCGGTTCCTACTCGAAGCTCACGCACCTCCCAAACGGAACTGCGGGGGTACACAAGGCTCCCATGATTTGCTACCGAAAATCTGGGATCGGCAGCCACGAGTGGGCCCTGACCCTGCAAGGCCGTGCTTCTGAGAGGCTGGCTGGGGCAACTCAAAAGCTGGAAGGATGTCTGCCGCCAGGTGGAGCCCAGCGATGGGGGTCCGACACCCCAGCGGCAAGTGGACCCGTACCCAGACATTCGACGTCCTGATTTTTTCAGCACGGCGTCCCTGGAAGTCCAGACCCTTTCCCCAGGACCGGTTTTTCATCCCGAGTCGTTTTTTGACCGTCCCGGGGCCCGGCGAAGGCCCCCGGGGGCCGAAAGTAACGAAAAACTTGCCGTCCTGATTTTCATTACGACGCGATCCTGTCTGGGCAGGGCGGCGGGTGGCCACGGGGTGCGCGGGCGGAGGGGCCCAGCCGCAGAAGCTGTGGGCTTCGGGCGGCCGCCCACCAGCACAGCTCCGCCCCGGGCCCCTGCCCCCCCCGCGGAGAGGTCTGGCGCCAGCGGAGATCTGCCACCCGCGGGCGCCCGCCCCTCCCCCCGCACGCCGAGGGACGCCGGCCAGGGGGCGCGGAGAGGAGGTCCTGGCGCACGCGGAGACATCTGCCACCACCGCGGGCGTCCGAGGCCTGTGCCTGCGAGCGTGAGGCTGGAGGAGGATTTCCAGGATTTCCGCCATTCGGAAACAGGCCGCGATTAATCCTGTCAAGGTACTCGCGCCTGGCCTTCGAAATCGGCAGCTTGCACGGTTCCCCCAGGCCTCTGAGCTGAGCCTGGCCGAAGAACCCACACGTGCGGCAAAACCAGATTTTAAGGTCTTTATGATAGGTCAAGGCGTGTGAGGGATGAGTCCAGCCACTGGCCAAGTGCAAACGCCGTCCCCTAGGAACACGACAAAGCTCACTGCTGTCATGCTGGAGTTGGAAGCATTCACTTTTTAGCCATTCGGACACCACAGCCTTGGTCGCAGAGCCTTTACACACGCTACACGCCCTCCCGTTTTCGGTCAGGGTATGTGCGGACGCGAAGCGTGCAAGAGCTAAAGGAGGAGGAGGGGGAGGAGGGGGAGGGACTCTACCAACGCCTCGCACTCTCTGGGCACCAGAAAGCTGAGACGCTCGAATGGAGTCTAAGCCGACACGCAGCAACCTCCTCCGTACAAGTCGGGCCCGATGCTCGACCTCATGAATCTTGTGACGATCCTCAGAAGAAACACGCGCGAGTGTCGCTGCCACTCCCGCGATCTCATCCACACATGCGTTGCCTGGTGCTAACCACGAAGGGAGACCACGGGCCAGCCCTTCAGCCCCAGTCAAATGCGACGGGGTCTGAACGACAACTATACACGCTGGAGCTCTGCCTTGTGAGATCAGTAGCTTACCGATGTCACGCCATATGTCTGACTGGGGGCCTTGAGGCCTGCGAAACAACTCGTCGTACCACCCTCTAGCAACTTCGTCACAATCCGTAACATACAGCAATTCGCCTGCGCTGAAACGCAGAGCCCATTCAAACGCCCTAAGTTCGCCTCGGGGAACGGTCTGTGCCGTTCCTGTGAGGGGCCCCATGAGGAAAGGCCCCAAATCCAACGGATCATACCTAGTGAAAGTGGCGAGCCCAATGCCGACCCGCCTGAGCCTAGAATCGAGGGTGTCGCGACCCCCAGAAGCATCTCCGAAAATAACCAGAGGCTCCAGAGCAGTCCCAGTCCCTGGACAGCCAGCCCCGAGACCATCGTTCCCGAGAAGGTTACCAGAAAGGAGGTAGGAGGAGGAGGAGGAGGAGGAGGAGGAGGAGGAGGAGGAGGAGGAGGAGGGAGGAGAAGGGAGGAGGAGGAGGAAGGCGGAAGGAGGAGGAGGAGGAGGAGGAGGAGGGAGGAGGAAGAAGGAGGAAGGAGGGAAGGAGGGAAGGAGGGAAGGAGGGAATAAGAGGGATGGGTCTGGGCACCGGAAATCAATCATCGCTATCTTGCTGCCTGGGCCGTGTCGCGGCTCGGTGTCCATGTTCGCATAGACTATCGGCGAGGGCCCCGCACGCAGCGGCCAGAGCATCGAGGACGAGGGCTGGCCCGCCGAGGTCATGGGCAGGTCCACCACGCACGGAGACTGCCTCCTGAAGTCGAAGAGCATGATGGAGAAGGCGCTCGTCGAGGCGTGCTCCCCCGTGCACACCACGCTGCTCAGGGAGCACCCCTCCTCGAAGCCGTCCAGCGCGTGGATGTACTTGCACATCGTGGCCCTGGCGCCGCCCGGAAACGACACCCGCGCCTGTGGGAAGGCGGAAATGCACAGAGGCAAAACAGAAGCCTCCTGGATGGGGAGGGGGTCGGAGGATCGAGCCGCAACACCGATACATCGGCGACGCGGCTCGATTTGAAGCCCGACCTTCTCCACGCCGACGTCGCCGACGCATCGCCGACGCCTCCGATGCATCGACGATCCATCGACGATGCATCTGCGATGCGTCGCCGATGCATCGGCAAAGCAGCGCGACCCTCCGACCCCATCTACCCGGACCCCATCTCCTGCTCCTCATCATCCTCCTCATCCTCCTTCCCACCATTCCTCCTCTTCCTCCACCTCTTCCTCATCCTCCTCCCTCTCTCTTCCTCCTCCTCCTCCCACTCCTCCTCCTCCTCCTCCTCCTCCCCCTCCTCCTCCTCATCCTCCTACTACTACTCCTACTCCTACTCCTACTCCTACTCTACTCCTATCCTTATTCCTTATTAGAATATACTCCTACTCCCCCCTCAGGCCGGCCATTAGGGGCCGCATCCGGGGGGTCCCATCCTAACCTGTAAAAAAACAATACAAAATCAACATGTTTCTTATTTTTTCCTCTCGACATGGACGTCCTGTCGTCCACGGCGATAATCCATTGCAAAAAACACCACAAAGAGCACACGCGCGCGTTCATGTCAGAATCCTACCGAACACCGTGTGTTTGCAAGCATTTCAACATAAAACATCAAAAACCCAATGCTTTTTTCACAAAAATTGTACAAATTTCCCGCCCGGGCTCTCTTGCTGAAATCATAGGAAAACCATAGGAATCTTAAGAATTCGGTCAAATCCAGCGATTTCACGTCATCGCGCGGTGCACTCTCGATGCTCTGTCATGGACCCAGGCCGCGAATCCTGTGCAAAAAATGCCACAAAGAGCACACTCGCGCGTTCATGTCAGAATCCTACCGAACACCGTGTGTTTGCAAGCATTTCAACATAAAAACATCAAAAACCCAATGCTTTTTCACACAAATGCTTTGGGGTGTCCTGTCAGACCGTCGGGCTTCCTCCGGCCACCTCTGGTTTCCTGCGGTGTACCGGGCCATTCTCGACTCGTCTGGCAATGCGTGCGCGGCATTCAACGCGCGCTCGCCAGTTCCCGTCGGCAACCGCCATCGCGGCCGCATCAGCTGTACCAAACCGGCTGGCCGGTGTGACTTCGGCCCCCAGTTGTGCCAGCTTTGCTTCTTTTGTTGTGGGAGGGCGGGTGGGCCTGGGCATGCCATGCTTGACTCGCTCGAGCTGGCTAGCTTGACTCCTACTCCTACT